AATGAGTGTCGTGTCCGATTTGTACTAGGATCTGGACGTGACCATGGACGTGATGAGAAAAATGGCTCCAATTCCAAGCCTTTAAACTCAAAATACCCAACCTAGTTCTGACTGTCGCTCGGTCTCTGCCTCGGTACGCTGGTTATGCCTGTGGATCGCTTCCAGAGTGAACTGGCTCGCAGGGGCTGTCGGCCCAGTTGCTGCGGTGGGTCTGGGGCTGGAAGCTGGTTCTCCGCCACCAGTACCGTCTGGCTCATCATCCCCGGTCTCGGGTTCAAACAGATCGTTCTGTTAACATGATGGTCATGTACGATAAGACAAAGATCGGGGTGAACTTAATAACACAGCCAATCTGATCCATATACTCAGAGTCTTCCATGATTTTGAGGTAATTTTTTTTAAAGGAAATGAGAACACAGATCCAAACGAGCGATGCTATCACATGCGTCTTTTCTACAAGCCGGGTCTTGGAACGACGTCTTACTAAGGCGTACACAATCAGTTCTTTACACCCGTAAATGTACCCGTACATATTATCAGTGATCTCACCCCCCCCGACATTCATAACACAAGCAATATGTAGGGTGGGCAACACACAGCCAGAGAGTACTGCAATACACGCCAACACTGTGCTTTGAGCCGATTCGGAGCGGAGAAAGGTCGTGGCTTCAACAATCTGCAGCATGTTGAAAGTGTACGCAAACGTGAGCGAAAATCCAAACGGAATCGACACCGGAATTGCAAAACAGCTCAAGACAAAGCATACGTAGATGCTAGTGATCAAGCACGCGACGCGCTTCCGAAACCAGGCAGCTGGGGCTGGGCGAGGAGCTGTAGAGGTTAATTCCATATTGGTTTATTCATTGCAAGGTCTTTGTCGATGATTTTATACGAGGGATGCACCACAAGCGCTGTTATCGCTATCCAGCGTGGAGCAGTTGGTGGAGAGACGGTATATACACCACAGTACCTCAACTTTATATTTGCAACCGTCTCGGAAATCCCCCGTGGTCTACCGGTATTAGGACGTTGATCTTTCCAATCAAAGGACTCAGTTCAATTCTGAGCGGGGGAAACAATAATAGCGGCGCGCTTCTTTTGCGCGCATTTAGAGCCCCTTACGAGCTTTCTTTTTGCCCTTTTCGCGCATTTAGAGCCCCTTAGAGGGTTTGCTAGTCACACAGACACGTATGTTTTTGAGTTTTTATTGACAACTACAGTATCTGGGGCATAGAATGCCGCTTGCGGTTAGCTTCAACCGACAGGAACTTGTAGATGCGGCTCGCCTTGACGACATGCGCCAGAGGGCTTGCAGAAGCGACGGGAATAGTCTTAACTCTGTCTATGGCCTTCACGGGTTTTTCACAACGAACGGCCACTTTCTTGATTCGTGCCATGGATTGGGTGTGCTGTTCTGTGTGCGTACCAGCGATGGGCACAAACCTCTTAAATAGATTGGGGGGGGCAATCTGTCTGGAACGATATTATTTTCGAGAGGACACGTGTCAGGCAGTTGTGTTTTTGGGGCGACACGTGTCCAACACGTGTCTGGTTGATAAATATTTGGAATTCCCAAACCGATACCACCGTTCTACCAGAGCACACTACGACACGCTCTAGTGGCATACCTTGCCTATATAGCATTCATATAAAATCAACGGAACACATACCTAACAGAGAGTCATGCCACACACGGCACACCCCCCGCCGAAGCGCAAGATGAGCATGGACGCGGACGAAGAGAAGACCGAAGACTGTGGTGGTGACGCGAAGAAGAAGAAGCCAAACGTACAGAAGTGCATTTGCAACTGGCCCGATTGCATCGTGTCGCGGCGCAGACCGGGCGAGCTCCAAGAACACATCGACTTCGTACACGAGAAAATCTTCCACAACGTATGCGATCATATCGACGAGGAAGGGGTCAAATGCGGATACCCATGCGAAACGCGTGGCAACCTGGAACAGCACAAGCGCAGACACACACCACCTCGTGACCGACCAGGTAGCGACGACCG